CGATTATGATAGTTGAATCGAGATACGAACTATATATCAAACCATCATGAATAGTAAGATTCACAAACATTAAAAAAAAATGTAACATATTCTTAAATATACGAGATATATGGATATAATTAGTAATAAAATAATTTTATAGTAAAAAAGAGTGGTTGTATTTACATGTATTTACCACACAATTTCAACAAGACAACTTTAAAGAAAAAGTGTGGCTACTCCATAAGATTCTTATAATTATGTATGTTACTAAGCAAATTTTGCATTACAACCATTAAAAAAATGTGTTGTTGTTACATAATTACTATAGACCATGGTTGTTGCTTATACATACTAAGCAACCTCAAACAAAAAAAAACTCTATCCCAATCATTCATATTTAATTCTCTTCCTCTCCAAGATTTACATCACTTAAGTCATCTTTAATTGAAAGTTCTTTTCCTTTTCCATGTCTTCAACTTCTTTCTCATTTTCTATTATGGATTGCCCACTTTTATTAGTCTTGGCATTTAAGTTTCTTGTACATTATCCACAATATCTTTCAAATATGAAACTATTACCTCATGATAAGAAGGAGGTTTTAACCTTTGTCATACTCTTTAACCTTTGAAAAATATTTGGGCAATGACATTGTTTATAGTGTTGAGAAGGTTTCGGAAACTTGCGTGTTGTTCTTCCTTGTTTTCTTGAAACATTGCGACAATTGTAGCTTATTGTGGCGCGCATTGTTTTTAGTAAGCAAGTGATGAACATGGGTCAAGATGGCTAGAGAGTTTGGGTCAAAGGGTAAGGGAGGTAGGTTTAGGGAGGTATTGGCTGGAATGGTGACTAAAGGTTGTGGTTGAGGGATAATTTGGTTAGTGTTTAGGTCAAATTGAGAGATTGAGGTTGTGGTTTGGTGTGGGGGGCTAGGTGTTTGTATGATAGGGTCAAGGTCTTCAAAAGTTGGACATGGTGTACATGGAGGTGAAGAGGAGGGAGCGACATAGGTTTCCTTTAAAGCTTCTTATTCAACAGATGGTTCTTCAGGAATGACAAGAAGCATTGGAGGAGGAATATAGATTTCTTGAGAGAAAGCATCGTCCAGAGTGGTCATCACCGAGGTCGTGAACAAGTGTTTATCAACTTGACACATAGTTTCATCAAGAGAGACATGATTGTTAAAGACGATTGATTGAGGCATGTGTCTCCCCATTAATAAAGCATGGATATAAAGTTAAACCAGTCCTTATCTCTTCTACATAGTCAATTGGTTTTCTATACATCCTCCTAATGAAAGTTGAATGTTGAGCAAGTAACAAGTCCGGAAAATGACAATAGAATACAACCTACGAAAGAAAATAAAAGCAACTAAGAATTGAAGATGTCACAACAATTCACATATGATTTCTTCTGCCTCATTGGCTACCTTTATTGACCTTTTGAGTTTGAAAATAGGAATAACTACAGAGACTTGATCTGCCAGTACAACATCAAATGAATGCCACATGAAAAGTACACAGAGAGCAACAAATAGGCACCGAAGGTACACAACGCATGAAGACGGTAGAACACATGACGAGGAAGAAATGAACCATACACAGTGACTGGAAAGGTACCTGAAAAATCACAAGTCAAAAACCATATCAATGGCGATGCTATTTCTTTATAAAGAGCAGAAATGTGAGACACTATTGGCTTATTTGAACTTTTTCCCTACTACAGTCAAAATTCGATTTTAGTCCTTTTTGCAGATCTGATTTTGCACTTCATACACATTAGACATTAATGTCAAGATAATAGAAGGCACAAATAAGAGTGCAATTAAGCCCACAAAAATACAGTGAGACTCACCAGCAACAGTTTCTTCAAAGCATCTACTTTTGTCATGATGTGCAGTAAAAACATGAACTTTATGGCCCTGGGATGCAAGCTCAACAGCAGCATCCACAATCAATCTCTCAGCTCCACCTTCAAAACAATGAAAGATAAACTAAGGGAAAATCAACTACGGAGAAGAAAATAACAAGACAACGTCTCACGAAATCAAAATTTTAACTTAGAAAGGTCAAATTAATGGAAATTTTACATTAAAAAAAATATGGTTTTAGTTTGAGTGGATTAGAAAACAACGGAGAATAGTGATTATTTACCTATGCCAAGATCCGGGTGAATTATTGGGATGTTCAGTTTTGAGCTTGTTCCCTTTGCCATATTTGAAAGTAAAGATCGAAAAGATAACAAACCCAGGAATAGTTAGCCAACGACTGTGGTGGCGTTATGGCTTAATCCGACAGGCCAAGTAATTCTAACCCTTGTTTCGATTGTTTACGAATCCGGGGTAAAAGTCATTGTTTGGAAACAACCAGCAGAATGTCACCATGACTGAAGTGTCTGTTTGGTATTGGTCACTGGAGAAAAGAGAGAAAATAGGATGTGATGTGATAGAATGTTTAGGTTGATAAAATAGAAAGAACAAAATAAAATGAAATAAAATGGTACGAAGGAAAGTTAGATTATTTTAATTGTTTAAAATAAATCCACCTAAAAAGATTTGCACATTCTCCTCTAGTTTTATTTATTATTAATTCATTAATTAAATCCAAATTATTTTTTATTTGCATGTCATTCTAGATAAAGATTAATTAAAATGTCCTAATAATCGCAAAGATCTTTTATTTGTGTTTTATGAATCTTTTTACATTTGAAATGATTTCTTATAATAATTGTATTAAAGTTACATTTGAAATGAATTTTATTTATTATTTAATTTAGTTAAATAAAAATTGTGTAAATAATGTATACGTATTTAATGTTCGAAAACTCTTATTTACCAATATAAAAAATGTAAAAATTAAGTTCAGTTTTTAGGAGTGAAGCTTTTCAATTTAATGCAAGGATTGAAGCTTGTTAAAGAGCTACGATAGGTGACCCACTGCAAGAGAAGCGGAGAGGTGGGAAGATAGGGTTCACCGGCGGCGGAGAGACATGACCGGAGAAGAAGTATCCGGCCCTGCCGGCCCCAAGCTCATCCGTCTCGTCTTCTTCATCGGCGCCGGAGGTAATACAATTCCCTTTCTCTCTCTCAAACCTATTTTCTTCCTTACTTGCATCGGTTTTAACGAATCGTTTCAGTGATCTGCACCACCGCAATTAACAAGTGGCGCGAATACGAGAGGAACACCATCATCCAGCAACAACAACAGCAACAAGTCGTGGAAACGCATAATTCGTCGGAATCTGTTGCTGCTCCCAAGACTCTCAAATAAAGGTTAGGGTTTTATCGTTAAGTGATGGGTAGTGTTAAGACGGCGATTTTGCGTTAAATCAAGTGTATTATGCAGTTTTAGTTTTTCTCCTTAGCTTTGATTATTAATTGTTACCGTTGGGGTTGTGAATGTGAAGTTTTGTTAGGTTAGGCAATGGATGTTTGCCAATGCTTGCGGGGAAAAATGGAAATGAATTGTGGTGGGAAGATTAATAAGTTGTAAGGAAATTTTGAATTGGCGGATAAATTGTCCTTTATTTATTATTCCCAAAATAACTGGAGGACTTTGTAACTTGATTTAGTCATTCGGAATGAATTGCTAATTATATCTTTGAGTCTGAATATGAACACTGTTGGACTTCAGTTCAAATTCAGATCTGGTAGATTATGTATGGTTCCTAAAAGGCGAGCCTATAAAGAGTTCAATTTGACAAAATTGTCATTGTTTTTAAGGATAATAAGTAGAGGTATCTGAGTTTCTGAATATCAGCATACTACTGGACTTTATAGTCAACTCAGATTCAGTAATTAAGTAATAATGGTTCGTCAAAAATGTCAAGGAATTCGCCAAATGAGGAGTTCTGCAGATGAACATGAACCAGTTGCACACGAGGAAACTGCTGATAATACTGTTCTTCCTAAGGTCTAGCATTGTATCTTGCTAAGAATTGGTCTAAAGATAAGATCAATTCACATGGATGCAAACCTTATCTTTCGAGTAAAACTTAAAGTCAACAAGAAACAGTATTTTATTTTTGTGTTTTAGAAATGTTATTATAAATTTATAATAAATTATAAATTATTGCCTGGGCAAAGAAAATACAGTGTCTGTATGTATGCGCTTGATTTGTTGAACAGTTATGCTATGTTTATAATTGCAATGATGGATAGAATGAGATGAAATTGAATAAACTTATCATGACTTTGTTTTGATATTGTATGATGGGAAATCAAGGGAATGGTAAAGAGATTAGTGAAAAGTGGGGGAAAGAAGGATATAGGTATTCCATCATATAATTTGGGTCAACCATTAACCATTAAATGCATTGCTTATTCTCATCGAACTGATCTATGACCTATTTTCTGTCTCCTATTAGAATTACTCATTAGTACAAGTTTTGAATCCTGAATTGGTTGGATTGCCAGAGACTTTGTATTAACTACTGTGATTGTTGGAGAAAATAATTTCTTTTGTTTTAAATTCGGTAATAGATAAACAATGTCCATTTCCGTTCAACCATTATCATTCTTATTTATTATTATCTACCAATAATATATTATAATATTTAACAATATCTCAATAAGTTTTTCTAAATGANTCAAGGAATTCGCCAAATGAGGAGTTCTGCAGATGAACATGAACCAGTTGCACACGAGGAAACTGCTGATAATACTGTTCTTCCTAAGGTCTAGCATTATATCTTGCTAAGAATTGGTCTAAAGATAAGATCAATTCACATGGATGCAAACCTTATCTTTCGAGTAAAACTTAAAGTCAACAAGAAACAGTATTTTATTTTTGTGTTTTAGAAATGTTATTATAAATTTATAAATTTATTATAAATTATAAATTATTGCCTGGGCAAAGAAAATACAGTGTCTGTATGTATGCGCTTGATTTGTTGAACAGTTATGCTATGTTTATAATTGCAATGATGGATAGAATGAGATGAAAATGAATAAAATTATCATGACTTTGTTTTGATATTGTATGATGAAAAATCAAGGGAATGGAAAAGAGATTAGTGAAAAGTGGGGGAAAGAAGGATATAGGTATTCCATCATATAATTTGGGTCAACCATTAACCATTAAATGCATTGCTTATTCACATCGAACTGATCTATAACCTATTTTCTGTCTCCTATTAGAATTACTCATTAGTACAAGTTTTGAATCCTGAATTGGTTGGATTGCCAGAGACTTTGTATTAACTACTGTGATTGTTGGAGAAAATAATTTCTTTTGTTTTAAATTCGGTAATAGATAAACAATGTCCATTTCCGTTCAACCATTATCATTCTTATTTATTATTATCTACCAATAATATATTATAATATTTAACAATATCTCAATAAGTTTTTCTAAATGAAATAATTATTTACCAAATCTATTTCTTAAAAAAACCTTTTAATTAAAATAAAATCTTTAAACTATAACGTTTTATATTATACATAAAATATTTAACTTTATTTATATATTTTTTATTAAAATTTTTATGATCTCGGATCATTTGTCACAGACGAGATAGTCTAGACATCTTTGACAATATTAGGCAATAAAATCCACAGTCTAACACATGTTCTATTTTTTGTGCTCTAGGATGTCCTCCAACAACCCTTAGAAATGATGCTTTAATATTTTTTAATAAGAAAGTAAATAATAAGGATAGGTCTTCTATTAAAAAATTAAAAAAAATATTATCTTATTAAATATATAATATATATTTTATTAAGTTAATAAAATATATATAATAGCACAACATATGAACTAGAGTTCTTACTATTAGGCTTTGTTCTTTTGGGGTTAATTGGGGGAGATGATTTGGGGGAGATAATTTGGGTGGATTTGAGGGTAATTTTGTAGTTGTTTTTTTGAGTGGATTTGTGAGTAATTTGGAGTGGATTTGGAAGTAAAGTTTGTGAGAACTAGTGTAGGATTTGATTGATGTGATAGATTTAAAAAAATAGTTTAATTGGTAAAAATGAAAGATTACCAAAATGCCCCTACTTATAATATAAAATGCCCCCATAGCCCTGTAACCGGTTATCTGTTTGCGTAACCGATTACACATGTGCTAGCCAAACGAACATAGCGCTGTAACCAGTTACGACTTTGCTGTAACAGGTTACGCCACCCTCTTCCTACTGTTCATCATCTTCTTTGGCTCTTACACAGCTGCTTCTTCATGCCATCAACACGCACAACGTCATTTTTCCTCTCAGTCTACAAACCTGCAAAATCAAAACCAAAACCAATGGTTGCACATACATCAAAATATTGTTGCACATAAATCATGTAATAAGTGGAGGGCACACATGACTTTTCCGTAACAATCCGCGCAAATCTCTTCGTTTATGCGAGTGACGAAAATCGACTGCATCCCGCAAATCCATCGTCATTGATCCCTCCTTATCCGCTCAAACGAACACCACAACATAATCTATTTATCGCTCGCAAATCCGCATGAACAGTAAAATCTGTTCATGCAAACACAGCCTTAAAGACGACTAGAAATGATGAATTATGAATGCTTGGGCACTTAGAAAAGAGAGAAGAATTTGGAATTCGAATATTTTTGTTCTAGAAGAAAAAAGAGAAGGTAGAATTACGGTGGATTTACTATGTCAGTTGAAATTAAAACTGACAAGGAATAACTTATCATAATGGTTCAATTGTTTTTTCTATATAGTAATGGTATCTTTAAAATATCTTTACCTTTGATTAAATAGACATTAAAATTTAATTTAAAAACAATTTTACAAGCTTAACCTTGAGTAAACTAACGTAAAGATTTTATTTAATAAAAAATAAAATTGACTTAAGCTAGTATTTTATTTATTTAAAAGTATATTTAAAATATTATGTATTGTATTGTTTGAAAAAGCTATATTTCTAATTTAAATAATAAACACTTATAAAGTGAGTGTCAATTATTGAGTTCTAGTTATCTAATGTAATTGAATAATTTAAAATATAAAAGTAATAATTTGTTTACATGTGTTAATTATTTATCTAAATTATAGACTTGATTGATGATCCTTATAGAAGTTGATAAAATATATTTTATAGAAAAAATTTCTCCCTATTTTACTTTAGACAAAAATCGAAGTAACATATATTCTACTATTTGTGTGTTTTAAAAAAATTTATCAATTCAAATATAGGGCAAGTGAAGTGACTAAAGTGACCCTAGAAAGTTAAAAAGTGAGAATGCCATTTTAGGCGATGAAAATGTAAACAAGAGTTGAAAAATAAAAAAGAAAAATGGTGTAAAAGATATGTTATAAATGGAAATTAATTAAATTAGACAGAAAATAAGAGAGAGGGAGAAGATGGAGCGAGTCTTTCGTCTACGTAATCTCTCTCTCACTGCCTCTCCTTCCAATTTATGTACATATAACACTATTCATCTCTACTCTTCCGCTTCCTCTCCGTCTTCTTCTTCCTCTCCAATTTCACATTTCAATTTCCTTCTCAATTCAACACCAAAACAATTCACGGTATCGTTATTCTTTCTCTTTTTCCATTTTATCATTCGCATATTTCATTTCGTTTCTGTCATAGCCGAATATTCATATTGATTATTGTTAGTTATTTTTCTCATTCCTCTGATCCTTGTTGGATCTGGCACGCGATTCTCTTTTCTGCTTCTAAATTGCAATTGTAGGACGTGAGACAATGCCGTTTCTGTTTGAGATCTTAAAACGAATATAAGATTATTTCTTCTCTATTCTTACGAACATGCCGAATTTGAGAAACATAATAAACAATAGCCTTTTTTTTAAACACTGTATTTTGTTTCCTTTGCGGTAGATCCGTCTTCCTTGCAGCACTTTTGAGGAACTTTGATGATTTGGCTGAAATGTGTGCACTAGAAGTTGCATTTACAATTTCAAGCTAGTTTCTTTTATTTAAGTCAATCAACATGAACGTAATGCATCACACTTTTTTATTTGAACAATAGAAATGGAAACCTTCCTCTTCACCTCAGAATCTGTAAACGAGGGCCACCCCGACAAGATCTGTGACCAGGTTTCTGACGCCGTCCTCGATGCTTGCCTGGAGCAAGACCCAGAGAGCAAGGTTGCCTGCGAAACCTGTACAAAAACCAACATGGTCATGGTGTTTGGAGAGATCACAACCAAGGCCAAGGTGAACTACGAGAAAATAGTTCGTGACACTTGCAGAGGCATTGGGTTCGTGTCTGCTGATGTTGGTCTGGATGCTGATAAGTGCAACGTTCTTGTCAACATTGAACAACAGAGCCCTGACATTGCCCAGGGAGTTCACGGTCACTTGTCCAAAAAGCCAGAGGACATTGGAGCCGGTGACCAAGGACATATGTTTGGCTATGCCACAGACGAAACAGCTGAATTAATGCCACTCACGCATGTGCTTGCTACCAAACTTGGTGCCAAGCTCACGGAAGTGAGAAAGAACAAAACATGCCCCTGGCTTAGACCTGATGGTAAAACCCAAGTGACTGTTGAGTACAGGAATGATGGTGGGGCCATGATCCCTATCCGTGTGCACACAGTCCTCATCTCAACCCAACATGATGAAACAGTCACAAATGAGCAAATTGCCAAGGATTTGAAAGAGCATGTGATAAAGCCTGTGATCCCAGCTGAATACCTGGACGACAAGACCATCTTCCACCTCAACCCTTCAGGTAGGTTTGTGATTGGAGGACCCCATGGAGACGCAGGCCTCACTGGGAGGAAGATAATCATCGATACCTATGGTGGGTGGGGTGCTCATGGTGGAGGTGCGTTCTCAGGCAAGGATCCAACCAAGGTCGATAGGAGCGGTGCATACATAGCAAGGCAAGCCGCAAAGAGTGTGGTAGCTTCAGGGCTTGCACGTCGTTGCATTGTGCAGGTTTCCTACGCAATTGGAGTGCCTGAGCCATTATCTGTTTTTGTGGATACTTATAAAACAGGGAAGATTCCTGACCGTGATATTCTGGCTTTGATTAAAGAGAATTTTGATTTTAGGCCTGGAATGATTTCCATCAATCTTGACCTCATGAGAGGAGGCAACTTCAGGTTCCAGAAGACTGCTGCTTATGGGCATTTTGGACGAGATGATCCTGATTTCACATGGGAGACCGTGAAGATGCTCAAGCCCAAAGCCTGATTGGTTGGCCTTGGTGGTGTTTCTTAAAATGTCACCGTAATCATCTTTCTGATCTTGTGTTAGGAAATCAATAAAGAAGCTTCGGTGAGTACATACTTCATTTAAGATGTATTTTTCAGCTTGGATGAGAATTAGGAGCAGAAACGTGCTGTCCTAACTGGAGGCGTTCGCACAACAGGAGCATGCAGCTTTAGCTATCTATACCACTTTTCATTTTTGTTTAAATTTCTCATTGTTGCTTTGTTTTTTTCTCCCTTCTGATGTTGATTGTTCTGCAACCATTCTTGTGTGGGTGGGATAATCGTGGAATGCCATTTATTTGATTCTTTTGTCACTTTTGTTTTATCATATATCTTCAAAGACTTAACTATTTTTTAATTTCTACTGCTACTTTGTTACTTTCACACTCCCTTCCTTCTTTACTGCCATTTAACAATTCATTATTATTTTATTCTAAAATTTTATTTATACATTATTATTAATTAAATATAATATTTTATCATCATAGAAAATTGTAAAATGAAAATAAGTGAAAAACACGATCTTAAATATAATTGGACACTATGATTTTTTCTTACTTCCGTTTTACAATTCTTTTAATAATAAAATATTATAATTAATTAATAACAAAAATATAAGTAAAATTTTAAAATAAAATAATAATATTTAGAATTGTTAAATAGAAGTATGTAACAAAAGGGCAGTGAAATGACAAGTTTGTGTAACTTTAAACAATTGAAAAATGATATTTTGACTCATATTTTTTACATTTATTTGATTAGTCTTTTTTATTATTTTTAAATATAAAAGTTCATTTTTTTTATGATGATTTTATTCTTATAATATATGTTAAATGAATGGAAACGTATGTCATCCTATAATTATTATAAACTATTAATATATATTTGTAGCTATAAAATAAGTTCGAAATAGACTACCTAGAGTCCCATAAGGATAAAGAACCTTTTTCCATAGCAAAATTATAAATGAACAGGGAGTCGTGTGCATGAATTCTCATTGTGTTTGTCCCCTAACATCTTAACAAGGATTTGGTCATAAGATAAATAATAAGTACGTAAATAATAAAATTTACATAAATTTGTATTTACATAAGAAAATAGATGCAACCGTATTTGTTTTTACAATGAGTGTCAGGTCTATAACTAAAGCATATTAAAATGAGGTAAAGAAAGAAAGGTTTCTGGCATGGGTTATGAACCAAACCAAAAACGTCAATATTTGTTTTACTTCAGTTAAAAAAATCGAAACATTAAACAAAAAAAATTGATTATTTAATCTTGGTTTTGTTCATAATCGAGACCATGTACTCTTTTTAATTTAAAATAAGGATTTAATACCTATTTTAGTTTATATAATCGTTACTTTTGTTTAAACTGATCCTCGAGTTTTTTTTTTTTTTGCGTTCAAAGTGGTTTTCTTTTTGGTAAAATTTGTTCAATTTAGTCATTTTCATTGACGGTGTCTAAATCGTTAACAGTGTAAAGTCAACTTAAGAAAAACAAAATGAGCTCTCACACAGTAGAGCTCACAATGGTTGACTCACATCATCATCTCGTTACGTCGTTATCATCTTCTCTAAATCAGAAAGTCCGATGATGGACTGTGGTTGATTATGATTTTTATAGGTTTTTGTGATTTAATAGAAAGCAATTTGGGGGTTTCGCTCCTTTCAGATGGTTTCATGTCATCAATGGAGGTGGAACGAGTTCAATGGTGGTGCGATTTGAGAGTTTTGTAGGTTTCCATAGAGGAGGCATGATTTTGCGAATTGGGGGGGTTCATCACAAATTCGATTTTTGTGATTTGTGTTGATGATGGTGTCCGATGAAGATGTTGAAGGTTGTGGGCATAAATCCAATTGTTATAAATTCACTTTAAATCAATCATTTAAGCATAAGAATCTCATCAAAATTTTGAATTTTAAAACATAAATGTGGGCATAAATATGCACTCATTAGTTACTTTAACCCTATTTAATTTGTTAACTACTAACATGGCAATACTGAAGTTTCCTTGCATAGTAGTATTAATTTGGTAGCTTCAACTACAACGTATCATCTTCCCTATAAATAAGAGAGATTCTCTCTTTTCTAATTACTTTTGAGTTGAGTAATGAAATGCTGAAGAATTGCTTCCAACCTTTGCTTTACTTGAGAGTCTCCTGTGTTTAGAGTTTTTCTTTTTCTCCTTTAGCTTCCTTCCTTAGTGGATAGGTCGTCTAAGCTTGAGGCATCATGCACACCATAGTTTCTTTAAATTGCACCTTCAATTACATCATGCTTCATTCAATCTACTGCACCTTTGCTTCCAGCTTCTGGAATTGATGTTTCAGGCCAGGGAGTTCTTCCATCAAACAATCAAAAGGATAGACAATTGGAAGGAACCATAGTCTGTTACCAGTGCAATAAACTTGGACACATCAAGTCCTAATGTCTTGATCTTGAAAAGATAAAAAGAAGAATTGTTGGTCCTATACATGACAAGAAGAAAGTTCTTATGAACACTTAAGAAGATTTGGACACCTCTAACGAAGAAGAAGCAAAATTGTACCTCAAGGTAGAAAACGTTGAATGCTCATAAGATGATTCTGATGAAGAGGTAGACTTTTCTTACTCACACTGTTATTCATGCATATTATGAATTGCTTTCATAATTTTCCAAATTTTCTGACACAGAAACTTTTGCATAAACATAGCAAAGAGCTTTCAGAAGAAAATAATGCTTTGAAACAAGAAGTAACATCATTTGAGGATGATGTGAAATCTCTCAAACAAAATGTTAGCAATATATCAAAGAAAAGCTAACAGATTCAAAAAGGGAAAAAAAAGAAAGAAAACTCTTTTTAAAACTAAGAAGCTCATAGAGGACACAACTATGACCGAAGATGCTAAAAATGTTGAGTCTCTCATGATACTCTAACCAAAGTTTTAAAATGAACACTTGAGGGGAGATATCAATTAAGACTCATACTTAAAGATAGTATGAATACTTTTAACAAAAGAGGCTTAGGATTTAATAAGAATAATGTAATGTTGATAAAACAAACAAAACTAAATTTTTTAAGTCGCCTAGTAATGCATCAACTGAAGTATCTGGAAAACACTAGAAGGGGTGGTTGCATAATGTTATAGAAAAACTTTTTTACGAATGATAGTTTAACAACTTTGATAAGGATTAAAAGTTTGTGTAAGTTGTTAAACAATTGACTTGGAAAGCTTTGCTCAAATTACAAATTCTCAAATAAATGTTTTTCAATCTTCTAGTCGAATTTGCTCCAACGTTTTGAGAAATATAGCTCTCGATAAAAATAACATTTGGTGACAAGAGCTTTTATACACGGTTGAGATAATAAGCAACTATAGGATTTGTAAGAAAAACATTTGGTAAGACTGAAGTAATAAATACAGTTATTTTATACTGGTTCATTCCACCGAGCTACATTCAGTTCTCCTCTAAAACCTCTTAGAGAGTTTCACTATAATCTTCAACAATATTACAACTAAGTATTCGCATCACTCTTGGTATCACCTAGTCAATCCTAGTAATCCCCGTTACTCTGACTAGAACCAAGTTTCATTCACTCTTGGTTGTGTAGTATTCTTCACTAGTCTTGGTATCCCTAGACAATCCCAAGATATTCTTAATATGTTGTCTATTTGAGTTGCACTCACTCCTGGTTTCCACTAGACAATCCCTGTATCAACCTAATACACTATCTAGCTATCGTTTAACTCAACCAAGTTAATCGGTAAGTGTTTGTATTCTCTTCAGAATATGCAATCAATCAAATTACTTACAACTCCTTAGATAGTTACTCTCACAAAGATGATGTGTTTATAATACAATTTAATCTAATAGACTTTTTAGAATTTTCTCTCTTCTTACAAGTGCAAGGTTATCATTCTATGAAGCTTGAGAGTATTTTCTTTCTTTTGTATTTCTTTTTCTTCTCAGATGATTTCACTCGTATTCGTGCGCCTATTCTCTGGATCTTCTATTCAAGGATCTTCATATTATAGTCTTCACGAGAAAATTTCAACTACATAGTGCTTGTTTGTTATCTTTATATTTTCTTAGGCTTTTCGTTGGTAGCAGCCGAAGGTTAAAGTCAATTTGTCATAGTAAACATGTTTTTTCAGTACTTTATTAAAAATAGGTTATATGAACTCTTCAACACAACTTTTGATGGTGAGGACATTTCGTGAATGTCTTTTTTGTCTTTAACGTCCACTTTTGATTTGTATATGATAGAGTAGGTGGATACTTGACATGGAAAACTTCAAAGAGTAGAGTAGATATGCATGCAAACAAATATGACTTTTTTCTTATTACTTTTATTGTTTTGAAACGTTGTGCAAGTAATGCTCTTTAGTGCGTATTCACAACAACTATGAGCTTTTCAAATTTTCTATCGTTCAAACAAGATTTGATCGTTTAAGCATTTCTGTGGAGATACCAAACAGTTCATAAGGGTTTCATCGTTGGATGAAAATTTCATTTGGTATAAGGTATTGTTTGGCCTATATAGGACACTTACTAACGATGCTTTGTTTAGTGATCTTAGTTTGGTTCAAAAGCGCATTTAGCATGATGTCATTCAACACATGTTTTTGGAGCAATGTTTATATCTTTTACCATCTTTATCAAAAACATCATTTTGCTCATTATTTTGCAAGATATAATGAAAACTCTTTTAAAATTGTTTAACAAAGTATAGCAAGAGCGCATTTAGCAAGTCTCTTTTATGACCTATTGACATGGTTACTGAAATCTCATTTGTTGGTTCATTTGTTGAGATGTCAACACATTTACTAAAGCTTTTCTTTTAGACATTCAGATTTCATAAAACTTTTTAACAAAACACCTATCTTTCAACAATATTATTTTCCACAAAGATAACACTTTGTCATATGCTCATTTTGTTTATTGTTGTTTATTAAACTTCAAAACATATGAGAACGTTACATGGTCCAATCTTATAGACGATCTTGTCTTAATAGTTTGAGTCTCAAAGAGATGTTTCTCTTAGTAAGACATTGTTTGTTACCCATATCGTCTATTAGACGATTGTTTAACGAAAATGCTTTCTTTCATTATATGTTTTTTTTCTATAAACAATATTTTGTTGAGTATTGTTTGATAAACTTCAAAACCTGAGTTGCTAGACCTTTTGATTTTGTCTCAACAAAAGTAAGATGACAACAAAATAATATTCACATCACGTGACAAAAAATTAAACAAAAATGACTTAATTGAAAAATATATATATAAAAAATGTAAGTACTTAATAAACAAATAAAAAATTAATAAAAACTCGACTGAAAATAACTATATATTCATAAGAGACTTAAAACATAATTACACATTCTTTTAATATTTTATTAAACTTTATTTTATTCACTCTCAATTTTGAATAGCTTAAAAATAATTCATTAATTATAAACTATTTTAAATGGATATAAATATAAATTTTGAAGTGTTAATTTAATCATTAGTTTATAATCAATTATTTGGAATAATGTTACTTCTAAAATTTAGTATTATTTAAAACATGGACATTATTAACTAAGATGGAGTATTATTCTTAACAAAAATAAATAATATTGATTGAAATATGGTCAATCTTAACTAAAATTAAGTATCATTTTGAATACGGAGTATCATCACTAGTGTAAAACATCTTTAACATCACATTTTAGACGTTTGACCTTCGAATATCCAACATAAAAAATGACCGGTGACATTTTTTGTAAATAAAACAACTATTTAGACGACGGCTATGGAGGGTCCGACGTCTAAATACTCATATACGTCGGCTCTCCCGAATAGACGCCAAAACTAAACGAAAAAGTTACAATTTTTTGTTATTCTATTTAGACGTCTGTTGTGGGGGGAACCGACTTCTAAAGCACTTTAGACGTATGTTATTGGGGGAATCGACGTCTAAATACACAACCCAAAAATTTAAAAAGTCACTTTTTGACTCCATTTAGACGTCTGATCCCGCCACTCTGACCTCTAAATCATTTTAGACGTCTGTTATTGAGGGAACCGACATCTAAAGCGCAACCCAAGAATTTAAAAAGTCACTTTTTGACTCCATTTAGACGTCTGATCCTGCCACTCCGACTTCTAAAGCACTTTAGACGTCTGTTATTGGGGGAACCGACGTCTAAATACACATCCCAAGAATTTAAAAAGTCACTTTTTGACTCCACTTGGACGTTTGATCCCGCCACTCCGACTTCTAAAGCACTTTAGACATATATTATTGGGGGAGCCGACGTCTAAATACACAACCCATAAATTTAAAAAGTCATTTTGTGACTCCATTTAGACGTCTGATCCTGCCACACCGACCTTTAAAGCACTTTAGACGTTTGTTATTAGGGGAACCGATGTCTAAATGTCAGCATTAAAACACCGCGAACGCGAGACAGCCTTTACGCACACTCATTGTTCATCATCTTCATCTCGTTTTCTCTCTACGGGTTATGCTTTTCGATTTCATCTTCTTACTTTTGCACCGTTTTAAATTAATTTTACTTCGATTACATCACTCTTGATGTATTATTTTTATTTTGAACCGATTAAAATGTGTTTTCGTTGGGTTTTGGTGTAGTTATTCTCGTGTCCTTGGGCGGCATTCTTCGGCGGCGATTTCTTGCGTTTTGCACTCCTCAAATTCCCTCCACTACGTTTTTAAAACCATCCAATAAAAAAAATGTACAATACATTCTCTTCAACTAAAATATAAAGTTGTAAACTCGAATCACCATGAGTTAGGAGCAACCTCAGAGACGTCTGACCTGTATGGATCAGACGTCTATATAGACGGACGTCTGACCTATATAGGTCTGACGTCTGACCTAAAGGGTCTGACGTCTCATTAACGTCACACATATAGACGTCGGACAAAGATCAGACGTTAAAAACCTAAAATAACTATTCTTATATATAAGGAGTAGTTGGATATTCTTACGTGCTAATATTTATTTCTTAATAAAATACAAGTTTTCCGAAAAGTTTAAATATTAATTAAATAAATTAAAAATATTAATTAGTACTTGGATTGGTTGAATTGGATCCCATGTTTCCACATCCAAGATTTTGATATATTTGACTGGTAGATCGCTCAGAAAGGGGTTCCATTATTCCATACCTACCAACTACCAAAATATTAAACTATCAAACTTTGTAACGTCATCACACTTCACCTGTGTAAAAAGTAAAAAACTCCCAAATCAATTATCTTTATTTTCTAAGAAAAAAAAACTTCTTTTAAATCCCCACAACAACTTTTAAATATCAAATGAAATTTCAAAAAATTGAATTAAAATATCTCTCTGAAATTTTATTCAATTACAGTAAAAAAAAAGTAAATTTTCTTGAATTAAAATATCCCTGAAATGTAAATTTCTAAATTTGGTTTTGAATTTTCTTGGATTTTGATATCTAATTTTTGAGTTTCTTGAATTTGAAAACACAATTTTAAAATTTCTCGAATTTCAAAATCTGAATTTTCTCAATTTTTTTAAATCTAATTATAAATTTTTCTGAATTTCAAAATCTGGTGTAAAATTTTTAAAATCTCAATTTCAAAATTCAGTTCTTAATTTTCTACTTGGTCTTTGAGATATAAGGTGAAAATGGAATGCACACGCAACCCTAAAAGGTGTCAAAGCCTAAAAACTCATAAGGGTAATTTTAGAAATATAAGAAAATTTGGGGGTGCATGAAGATAAATGTGGGGTGCAGAAAGAAGTTCCGATGTTCTTTTGCAGGACGCTAAACTTGGCCCAACAAGAGCGCACCAAAAGCCATACCCTGAGTGGACCATATTACCCTTATTCTCTTGCTTTTGATTTCAAATCTGTTCTTTTTCTTGCTTTTTCTGTCCGAGGAAAAGTAGAAGAGAAACACAGTACCCTAGATTTGCCCTTCTCTGCTTCGGAAGAAAGTGAAACAGAACAAAATTGCAATGGCTTTCGCTTCTTTCCTTGGCAGAGTTCTCTTCGCTTCCGTCTTTATACTCTCTGCTTACCAAGAGTTAGTACTCTTTTCACTTCTTTCATAAATTTTTCCTCTGTTGATTTGTACCATAAGATGTCGTTTCTGTCATTTTAATTCAAGAATGAAGTAGTAAATGTTTGTGGATTTTTTGTATGTTTTGTTCATAGATTCAGTTATTTACATTCTGCAGTAGTTGGATCCGTAATGCTTAAGGTTTGGAACCGTTTCTCTGAGTAAAGTAGCCTCGTAGATCTGCGTTTACTTTTTGTCTTTTGTTCTATTTAGATTTCGAAAGCGTTACTTACTTAGATTTCCTGTTTTGACTTTGATGGACCGTGTTAATAAGTTTATACTAAGATTTGGTAGAAGTGCGAGAAACTCGATCCTATTTTTGCATTTGAATATTGTTAATTGTGAAATTATCCATAAGTTCTTGTCTAGTCTGCATATTTGCATTTTCGGATTAATTTTTATGGTAAAATATGGTATAGTTGTCGTTATGTTTGAAAATTACTATGTTTTTCTCTGTTTATGTGCAATTCTGGGTTGACTTTATCGCGTTTTTATTCTTCCTGAATTGGGTTACTTTGAATTATTGAGTATGACTTCATTATTGGATAATTGTGCTTGACTTGGAAATTATTCATTGTGATTTTGGTGGGGATGGCGGAGTTGGTTGCTAGTACTATATTATTCATGACCGTTCTTTTTGATAAAAGTATATGTGGTTCATCCCCTCTTTTTTGTTGCTGAAGTGAAGTTTCTTTTTTACTCGGTCGTTCTTTAATATAGATTTAATGAGTTTGGAGTTGATGGTGGGCCTGCAGCGAAAGCACTCAGACCAAAGTTTGATGCATTTACACATCGCGTGCATTCTCAAGTTGGCTTTCAACTCCCACAGATTGATGTTAGTTTCTCTTCTTTCTCTATCATGTGTATCTTTTCTGGAAAATTATGTCTGAGCATCATGTCTTCATTTCAAAGTAATTGGAGATTAATTAAATACTATAATAAATATCTATTTAATACTATCTCATAGAACTTGCAATTTATGTTGAACGAGGATTGTACCTTTATCCTTCAGGCTCATATTGTACTTTATATCTCGAATGTATATTATATTATCTTGTATGGTAGAATTTCTCTGATATGATTGATGTCCTGAGCAGACGCAAATTTTAATTGCTGGGGCTATTGCTCTCAAGGGCCTTGGAGGAGTTCTTTTCATATTTGGCAGCTCTTTCGGAGCTCTCCTTCTGGTTTGTATTCAAATTTTCCCTAATAAATTGAATTTCATATTCTTCTGACATGCTTCTCTTTTTTTTTTCCTAGTTTTGACTATTTATTTAATTTATTTATTTTGGCTGTAGCTCCTGCATCAGCTTATTGCTACTCCTATCCACTATGATTTTTACAATTATGAGAGCGAGGACAAAGAATTTACTCAACTTTTCATCAAATTTACACAGGTCAGAGACGTGACTTTTTTAAAAAACTTTATTTTCAATACAATATTCCCAGATGTATTTTTACATTTGTTCTCTAAATATAATATAATTCCTTGTAGAATATGGCTCTCTTTGGGGCTCTGTTGTTTTTCATCGGCATGAAGAACTCCATCCCTAAAAGGCAACACAAGAAGGCACCGAAAACAAAAACCTATTAGTACCAGCAGCATTGGAGGACCCCGTTTCAAGGAGGGGATGCTGTTGGCTCTTAATCATATCCTCACAAATGTACCAGGATTTGGGTACTTCTCTGGTTCAGAATCAGTCTTCCTCTCCCTTTGAGTTTTGTAGTTTTGGCTTCACTTGGATTAAATTATTGGCTATTATTTTGTATGATCTTGTTATCACGGCTTTAGGAACTATCTTCCAGTTAGACTTGTCTGTTAAAAATGAAAACAAAAGGATGAGAAACCTTGGCTCTTGAACTTCAGAATGCCAATTTCATTCTGTTCTATCTTTCTTGATGTAAGGTCTTCAAAGCCTGGCATTGGAAGTTATGTAACTTAACTGGAGTTATCCACTTCAGCCATGAATTTGTGTGCCCCATCTGATTCTTGTGCTCATTTTATTTTTACCTACCTGTTATTTTTCACTTCCAAAACAAACTTTAAATGTGTTGGAATCTAACTAAGCTAGAAGTTAATTTCGATTAAATTGAGAAAGTTAAAATGTGTTTGAACTAATTTAAATTTTTGGGAGGATGTTTGATTTATTTTATTTTTTAATCATTCTCTTTTATTTTCTTATGAATATCTATTAATATTTGTGTTAATTTTAATGATGCATGTTTTTGTTTAGTTGTGTTTTGTTTTTTCTATCTTAGTTCTTAATTGTAAAAATTTTAAATTAAATTTAGTCCTTTCGTTTTTAAATATGTTCATAATAAAAAAATTATAATTATTCTTTTTTATCTTTTTTATGTAAAACGCTTATTTTCTTGTTTCTTGTGAAGTAAATTTATTAAATTATTTTTTTATAAAGATAAAGATTAATTTTAACATATTATTTTAAATTTAATTAGTATTTACGTTATGAAACATTTAAGTATTTTTAATCTGATTTTTGTAACTTAGCTATAGTAGTTAAGGTTTTCACTTAATTACAGTAATTAAAAGTAGAGGAATTAATTCCAGAAAAAAAAAATCTAGAGATTAAAATTGTATAATAAACATCCTATTAAATATTTTGCTCCTCAATTATTTTTAGAGTACTTAAAAGTGAATTGAAGTAAAATTTAAAGGACTTAATTTCAGGAAAAAAAATAATCCAGAGATAAAAATTGTATATTAAATAATGGAATTAAATATCCTAATAAATCTTTTTGGTTTTTTAGTTTTAAAAGTGTTTATAAATGAATAGGTTAAGTTCAGCTAGCTTCAATAGGTTTTATAGTTAGTTGGCTTCAATGCATTTTATAAATATAATCAAAGATTACACATGGTTGAAATTATTCTTTTCACGGTTTTTAAATGATAACTTCTTTAACTGTATTAGATATGTCAATTCATGATTCACATGTTTTATATGGATTTCTGATCACCCTTGTTAAAAGAAACGTTTTATTATCCAATTTAAATTAGTTTTCAAATTCTTCATATGCGATTATGAAATAATTACCATTCGATTTTGATTATAGTGTTAATCTGATATTACATTCATCTAATCTAATTTGATATTTTATGGCTTGAATCAGATTGAATAATTTGATATTACATTTGTATTTTTCTTTAAACTGCAAAAGAAGGAGAAATTGTAACATCTTATAAATTCTTACAAATATAAACACTGTTTAAAATATTCAACCTATATTACTACACACAACATACTATTTCAATATAATATAATATAATATAATATAATATAAAAAATATATAGAGATAAATAGATAGATATTCAAAATTAACTCCACATATTTATATAACGGGTCATGGCCCCAATTGTAGGAAATTATTACTATTTTTGTGTTTTATTTTGTACTCTTCATCTATAAATCCTACCAACCATCAACCGATCTTTTATGGGGCAAGAGATGCCATAGCCTCCCCAAAAATTTTTGAAATTTTTGAAATTTATAGATTTGAAAATTTCAAAGTTTTTTAAAAAATTTAAATTATATATAATATATATTGCCAATTGATGGAAATTGAATTAAGTATTTGTTTATTTTTTTATAAAGCATAATGTTAATAAATAATAAAACAAAATCAAATATAATAAAAGATAAATATTTATTAAGGTTTTTTTTTTCATTGTCTTTTGAGTTTCTCACATATTGTTCTCATCTCACACTCACAGATGGTTTTTTTGTGTTTCTGAAAAAAAAAATGATGTTAGACACAAACTCATTATTTTTGCTGCTCTCATTCCTAGGCTGTTCTATTCCATTCTTGAAGAAAAAATTGTAACTCTATCTTGTCTCACTTGATAGTGAAATATTAGTTTAATAGTTATTTTATCTCATGAACCTCTGTATATTAATTTTGTATGAATATAGAAGAAGTAATATATTATGTTTTTTTCAGTTTAATGGAATCAATGTAGTAGATTTTGATAAGCTTAAACCTTTTACCGGTTTGCCTAAGGTATTTTTCTTTCATTCTCCCTAACTGATGTGTACTTATGGAAATTCTCATTCTTCTGCTAAGATTAGTTGACAATTAACCCCATGCTGTGAGTTAGGAGTCCTTTCAGGTTCTGGTTAACCATTAAACTTATCTGTATTTTGTGCTTTGAATCTGCAAATTATATTGCATGGTTACTCATTTGGTGCTTTTTAATAACCTAACCTAATCATACACTGCAGGAGGGCGATGTAATTGCTTATCGATTGATCGAGTTATCAGCATCTTTCACTCCTGAACGTTCCTCCTTTAGGTAGCACTGATGAAAAACTTAAGGGTGATCCGACTAGCGTGGTTAGTTTCCAGCCAGAAAGGTAAGGTAAGGTCTTATCCCTGTTAATGGTAATGTACACTTACCATTCTTAAAAACATTAAAACATTTTGATGCGCTAAACATGTGGATTTGCTTACAGAAAATGGGCAAGTGATGTTTGGAAAGAAATTAGCAAGGAATTAGAAGAAAAATAGGCTAAACAATAGCTATTAAAAGGACAGTAACTGGTACAAAGCTAGCCTTTAATCTTAGAAACATTGGCCCCACCATTCCTCTTTTATTCTTGGATGTTCTTCCACATGAGTCTTTTTCCTTCGACACATACCTCAACACCTTATCTTGACGGCTAAGGACAATAACACTGAGTATTCTCCAACAGTGTTTTCATACAAGATAGAACAATAGAAATTGCAAGAGCTCTTGAATGAAATAGATTCAAAAGAAAAAACCATAAAGGAGACCACAAATGGACAAAATCTTTGTACAGCGCAACTGCACAGGTACATACTTCATAGGAAAAAAAAAAGAAACAAGATGAAAAGCAAAGACTTGAAGAGAAAAAATAAAAGAGAACAAAAGAAAAATAAGATGAAAACCTGGATACTGATAATGCTAGCAGTTGCAGAGAAGCAATGAGGGCTTGGATGTAGCATCTTAAGCATTGTAATTGGAAGAATAGTTGCATTGGAGTAATTTCACTCACCGTAGACTTTTCATCTTCAAAATTTTCCACAGAAAACAGGAGTAACATTTTATATATTTTCTGATTTTGGATTAATTTAGAAAAAAAAATGAGATTCTTTTTCTAAAATTCAACCAAACATGTTTACATTCATGTTTTCTACTTTTATTGAAAAAGAAAACATAAACAGGCCCTAATATTTGGAGTATAATTTCAAAGATTGAGTTACAACAGTCAATGAAGTAGCTTTGTAAGTTTCCAAGAATCAGATGGATTTTATGAATACATAGTGCTCTTGGATTGCAGTAATTGAACAAGCGGCCACAAGATATCCAATCTGTGTAAATTTCTGTTGTTTTGGCCCTGTGACAGACAATTCACTTTGCATCAATCACTCGGTAGTTTAACATAATGATAAAAAAAATTGTACTCAACAACTATTTACAATTCAGCACAACACTCTTTTGCTTCAGAAACATGCATGGTCTATTCATATTTTTATCAACTGAAGTATAAAGCTATCACTTAACATACAAAAACTTCCAAGTTACAACAACTTTAATTACCATAATTCTTACATAAAGATTATTATAAATTAAGTGACTTCATATGTATGGTCGTTGCATGTCAGTATCTACGCAGGAAATAATCACTAAGTTTTCATGCATGACTCATCACGATGTGCAATAGTTATTACAACATTTTAAATAGGAATAGAACATGCATGCTACTTCTTCAGTTCAGTCCTAGATAGTGTAAAATTAATGTACTGAATTTCTTTAATTGAATTAGAAATAAAACTTACTTCTGACCCTGCCTCAACCACAAAACATATACATGTCTTCTCGCCATGAGCTTCTGTTGCCCCATTCAATATTGTCAGACCCATGCTTCTGATGGCTTCTGCTATCTCAAGAAAATGGCTACACTCCTCACACAACATCTGCAGCATAAGTCATAGTTAGAATACAAGTCATAATTAGAATAAAAGGGCATGGAGTACAATCTTAGAAGGGCTTCTATCCTCCATTTCTCAAAAGGAGATTTTTTCTTGTTTATTCTAGAAAATATATTAAGGTTATAATTTTCAACTCCTAACACACCTCAACAAGCATCTGGCCATTCTTATTAAGATTCTCCACTAATATTGAACGAACTTTCAGATGGCCTCCGACTTCCATTGCCCAACTTGAACCTTGTTGATGACTTGATGATCCGTTAATATCTTTTTCCATGTGCTGCAACTGTGCAATTGCAATAGCGTAAAATAATATTGATAGTATAATAAAATTGAAATCACACATTCATAAATTGTTCAAATGAAGCAAACCAAACTTTTGGAATGGGTCATTCAACAATCAACACTACAAAAACTTGCTCTCTTTACTAGCAATTGAACAAATGCATAAAATTTTAGGGTCCTGCTAAATGTTCTGAAGGGAAAATGCTGAGAATTAATGTCATCATTTTTAGTAAAATTTGTCATTTAAATAATGCCGAGTAAGAAACAAGTGTATTTATAGGAATTAAATATCAATACACATTAACAATTTGACTAGGTATATCAGTGAACTATTTGACTAAGTATAATCAGTGACTTCTAAAACTCTATCAAACTGTACCTTAGTCTTTGTGTCCGTAAATTTATTTAGCTTGTCAGCATGCTTGGTTACATTCTTGAGAAAGAGCATGTGTTTTATGGTGCACTCCAGAAGCGAATCAATACTGCACTGTTGACATGACAATATGAAATATTTAGCTATGTAAATTGAAAAAACCAACAAAAATCAAAACTTATTGCGACAGGATTAGAAAATGGATGTGAAGGATACCTTTGCTCCATTTGGTACCAGTTCCCTCAACTCCTTAATACGATCTTGGATAAGTTGTCTGTCCCTTGGTCTAGGCCTACAACTTTCACCAGGCCTAGCCCTCTTCTTGCTGTTCTTAGTTGGTTCAGAAGACCTCTCAAATTGTTCACTACATGAACTAGGGCATGTAGAAGAAAAACCCTTTGGAGACATTATACCACATATCCCAGATGAACCCAAATTATAGTGTTTTTCCTCTATACCAATGTGAGGCTGATCTATTGAACAGCTTTCAGAATTAATGGTGTGGACAGTGTGGATTGAACCCTCAGGATTACTTCCTGAGGCTATTGCAGCCTGCATTGTTGTAGAAAATGACAACTCGCTATTGACATTATTATTACTATGGCAGATGTTAGCCACCATAGCCTCTAAGAGATGCTCTGGTTGAGATTCAGAAGTCAATTGGCTACAGCTTAGCTCATCTGACATCTCAGCGGCTTTAACATCTTGATATGCCTTTACTGCCCAATCAAAATATTTGCTCCCTCTTAGAAAACTTGGCCCAAGTGCTTCATGTAACTCATAGCCAGCAGGAAACTTCAAAGTGTATGCGGTATCCTTGGAACAAGGTTCAGTCTGAAACTTTGACTTCCCAGTATCTTGGCGGGAGTATGCATCTGAAGGTCTGGTCCAGTTCAACACTCCTCTTTGGTTGATATCTACATAATGAAACTTGTCACTCTCACAGACAGCTGTATCAAGAAATTCTGAGGAGAAGGATACAGAATCAAATCCAACAATTTTGGATGGACATACTAAATCATTGACACCATTATTACCCGTAACCAAATTATGTAAAAAAGATGACAATTTTTTTCCTGATTCCACACTTGTATCATCACAGCCACTACTGTTCCATTCAAAATTTCTCTCATTTATAGGTCTCATCCCTAAAAATTTATGCTGATCCACATTCATCATATTAGACATTGACTGAAGCAAAATGAAATTTCCATCACTGTATAATTCTGGCCCTTCATGCTTGGCCACATCAACAGTCATCTTCTGATTCACAGCATGAGGTGAATAATTGTTCCCAGGACCTTGAAAGGGCATTAAATTATCCAGTGATTCATGCTTCATGGTTTTCTCTGTATTGTGCAAGTGAGCAGGCACACTTTCTGAAGCTTTTGAATCCAACTGAAAGAGAAAAATGAAATAAATCTTATGATTATGCTCAATGCATAGTGTGTAAAAGATGTACATGTCAATGGTCACACAACCTGTACCCTACTCACAAAAGCACATTCCTGCAGACAGATGATGACACATACACAGAAAGAATGGAGAAAAATTACCACAGACGAAGAATTCTTCAGACTCTTTTGTACTTGATTAGGATCATGGTGGAGTGTGTAATCTTGATTAGACAAAAAGAGACTTCGGATACAGGTTATAACCCCCATATCTTCAGCAACCTGATATCAGGGATGACAGGAAAAGGGAAGATTATTAAATATTTCAATGATAAATGGACTTCTGCATAAATATACATCCACAAGTATTCTAAATCTATCAATCATATCCAGTGTTATCAAATGAGTTAACTAGTTAACTCGGTCGAGTTTACGAGTCCACACAGTGTTTCCAAGTTAACTAGGAAGCAAACTCGGATTTGATATAGGATCGGTAGACTCGATGGTGGAATTGGTAAGCTTGCCTAAAAGTGCAAGCCTCCTTCTAGCGAGTTTGTGAAGAAATTTTGAAAATGTAAAACGAAGTCATTTTTAGGGATCACCAGATTAGGTTTTTTGATTTAGGTTTAGTGACAAAGCTCATCTTCTTCGTTCCTCTCTTGCAATTCAATCAGATTTTGCTTTCGTTCTTGGGATTCATCTTTGTTCTTGTGCTCTCGCTCGTGGTTTCACTTGCACCCTCGCTCGTGCCTTCGTTCTTGCGCTATCATTCTCGCCTTCAATCTCTTTTTTGTTCTTGCACCGAAGTTCTCCGCCTTCGATCTCGCGCCTTGTGTAAGTTCATCTCTGTCTACACAATGTTTTAAGTTCATGTGCATTGTGTTAAGTTCCCGTGCCTCCACCTCCCAGACATTGTTCCCTTCCCATGTGCTAGTTTTGGAAGAATGTCTCTACATGCTTGAAAGTTGTTGCCCCTCTTATGGTGGTCTTGAGATTAGTGGACTCAGACGTAAAACCCGCAATGGATTTCATTTATGAAGAAATGGATTGTGCAAAAGAGAAGATTAGTCTAACTTTAACAATATCAAGGAAGAGATAAAATTTCAAACTTTTACTCATTCAAAGTTTAATTACTTATGTGTGAAATTATTTCTAATTTAGCACAATTGGTTTGGTAATTATATGTAGTTATGAAGAGATTTGGAGAATAACTAATGCTCGATGGGATAATCAACTTCATAGGCCTTTGCATACAGCTGCTTATTTTTTGAACCCCATTTCCACTATGAACCTAACTTTAGATGTGATGATGGTGGAGAGGTGAAAGAAGGATTATATATGTGCATGAGAAGATTGGTACAGAATATGGCAGAAAGAAGAAAAATTAATTTGTAAATTGTTGAATTTCATTTTGCTAGAGAACTTTTCGAAATGGAAGATGCAAAGAAATGTAGGAAAGAATTAAATCCTGGGGAATGGTGGGAGATGTTTGGGGATGGAACTCCAAAGTTGAAGAGATTTGCTATTCGAATTCTAAGCTTGACGTGTAGTTCTTTGGGACGTAAGTGTAATTGGAGCTCATTTAAAATGGTAATTTAAATTATTTTTAATTTATAATTTTCTTTATTATGTTTAGATCTTTACTAAAAATTTGATATTTCATTTTAGGTTTATACAAAGAGAAGGAATTGTTTGCATCCAAAAAGGATGAATGATTTAGTTTGTGATGTATAACTTGAAGTTGAAAAGTAAACAAATTCGAAAAATTGATGCTTTTCCATTTAATGATATTGAATCAGATGATCAATGGATAACTGAAGAGGCAGATGGTGTTGTTGACATTGAGCAAGCGGAAGGTGAAAATGATAGTAAAAATGTTCACTTTGATAGAGCAACAACAGATCTTGCTCTAGATGCTCTTGATCTTGATAACATAACATTTAGGGACAATGAGAATGCACAACATTCATCAAGAGAAGAGTTGGATGAAGATAATGACGGAGATGATGATGTCATTATTAGAAGATTAGAGGATCAGACATAGACACTTTGACATTTCAATTTATGTTTTACAATATTTCTATGAACAATATTTTTATGAACTTATTTATTTGAATTTATATAATTTTGTGGACTTACTTGAATTAGGATGCTATCCATATAATTTTCTTTTCTTGTAAAGTAAATTCTTATGAGTATAAGAGTTTATGAGTCGAGTTTACTAGATTCTCACAAGTTTTTGTAAACTTGACGTAAACTAGAGTTTATGTAAACTTGAAGTAAACTCGAGTTTACGACCTTGACCATATCCATCGAAATCTAAATTAGAACATTAAGCACAAGGCCTACAAATTTATTGAACTGCTTATCAATAAGTTAGAACAGATCATAGACACTATATAATCAATGTCCCAATAACCACTCAAGCAGTTACCAAAATTAGATGGAGAAGAAATAAGAGGCAAATCATACTATTTGAATAGTTATATTATGATGGAAAATTACCAAAAAGGGCAAACAAACTTTAAAAAACTGAAAATAAAATGTACGAAAAAGAATAGTATATGATAACATAAGTGTTACTGAACTACAGCAGAAACTCCATTCATCAACAGCGTGGGATTTAAGCACAAAAATAAAAGAAAGAAGAATATAGTCATCTTACTTTATTCATGGAACCAAGTTGAACAACTCCAATGGGGACTACGGCTATAACAACAATGGTCTACAATACAAAACAAAGGTTTGTCAGTAAAAAATCATATTGCAGAAAAAGTCATTCTCCAAAAGCGAACCACAGGTTTGCTAACAGAGTACACTAGAAGTCCAGATTCCAGAAACTTAATTTTTCCTCACTTCATTACTATGCAACTACAGCAATCCATCTATCCTAACACAAAAATCTAGCTCCATCTCCTTTATTTAAAAAAATATAACTTCAACAAATGAAGAGTCCCGTTTAGGATCAAGTGAAGAACTTTTAGGTTATAAATTCATTGGCCCAGTGCAATACATGTGATTAATCAACATTTGATATAATTCTGAAATATGAATCACCAAAGCAGACTTCAATGCTCAATAAGGTAAAATGATAACGTGCAGATGTCATTTGTTGATCTGAATCTACTAACTTTTGCAAATGAAGCACTCTAAATAAAAATGTACAGATGGATATGGTTGCGGCAAGTGAAATAGGAGCCAGGGTCCTTCTATGGCTAGACAATTTGTTATATCATCAAGTCCATTATCTTAGTAACTACAGTTTTCCAAATTTATTGTTCAAACTAAATTATGCATTGACCATCATCCTTAGAAACGATTGGCAATTCCAATTTCTGGGTAAGTATAGAAATTTCTCGATAGCTATTTTCATTGAGATTGATTTCTTCACCGTGAGGATTATCTTACCCTAATTCCAGCAGAAAATTGAGATTGCCATCCATCAGCAATCTGAAAACAAACCAAAGAAGAGGAATGGAGAATGATTGGACGATTAGTTATGTACTCTAAGCATCTTTGGTGTCAAGTTTCAATTATAGAATTTCAAATGTTCATGGCTAAGAGAACACTAGTGGCTAGTGACAACATTTAAGAAGAAGATTCCTCACCTCTAAAGATGGGCCAGAGCTTGTAACTTGATTGTCTTCATATATCCACCGATGTTTTCCTGTAACAGCTACCTGTCCAACAATTCTGTAAAAAACAAGAAATCAAACTAGGAGCTGGAGCTACATAAGAATTACTTTAATCTTAAGTATCCAACATATTCATTAGTTAAGTCATACCCTTCCCCTAACGAATATACATGATATGACATCTTTGCCACAGCTAACTCTAGAGGATCATGCGAAAAATCTGCACTGTCAATCTGCTCCCATGTATTCTGGCAGCTCTTATTTCCAGAAGAGTCACAAATATTGGGATTGTCATAGTAAGCATCCTCCCATGTCAGGATCCTGAAAGCAAACATCACACCCAGAAAATAATTTAAAGAAACACGTTGAGTTTGAATATTTAGCCTAAAGTACACGCAAGACCAACAATAGATGATTACACACTACACAATATTATAATAAAAACAATAAATGCAAATCCAGTTCAAATGCAGACACACTACATCAACATTAACACATACTTCTGAATAGACAGAATGGTAGCAAACTATGAAATGAGGTGCTTTCAAGACACACTAGTGTTCGACTTATCGTCAATCCAAAAGACCAAAACAGAGGATATCCAAGAGTAAACCCCTCCCGTTTGTCTCCTTCCAAAAATATTATGCAAACATGGATTCTGCATACTCAAGCCATGCCCTTTAGTTTAAAATCCAAAAGTAGATCATTCCAGCAAGTATAATACATATGCTCATACAAGAACAACCAAACTAGAATGAAGAAGAGATTAGGCAGGGACGAACATTTTCATACTAAAAAGAAGAAGTGACTAAATAAAACTAAAAAATAAGGCCAAGTTAAACTGAGAATATAAACCATACATCCGAGCCCGGTGTTTGAGCTTCCAAAAGATGGCATACTTCCAATCAGTACCCAAACAGAAGCTTCTGAGCAGTCGGTGCAAGTTGCTACCCATTTTCTCCTCCTTCTAAAAATCAAAACTTTTTGACACCCGAAAGAGGGGTTGTTAATCACACCTCCAAAAAACAAAAACCACCACCACAAATCCAAAACCAAGAACAAATAACAACAAAACCTCTCCAAATCCCACTACACCACCCTAGCCTTAGCTTCCTCTATAAGACCCTCTTCCAGCCTGTTTCCTCCGCAGCCTTGCTCGCCGTTTTAATGGCGGTCCAACCGTCCCGGATAGCAGCCGATCCCTAACCATTACTACTCACTCCACAAAGCTTCTAACTTTGCTGCTTTAGAAGCTTCTAGAAGGACTCACACTGTCATTTGTTGCCACAAGAGATTCAACCAAACCCAACACACACACACCAGCATTGCAAGCTTCCATGGCTGAATGCAGATTCCAAAGAGGTGAATGAAGAATCAAATTTAGCTTATATCTGAAGACATGGATGAAGCCAAAAAATAAAAGAGGAAGCCGTGAACTGAAGCCAGAAAGATGTCAACTTAGAAAAGAAGGTTGTGGCGAGGATGGAAAAGAAACTATAAAGTTCAAGGCTTTATGGAAACTCAAATCATGAACTTGTACACTTTGAGCTTCAATCTTGGAAACAAGAACGCTGATTGTTTTCCTTCCTTTCTCTAGAGAGATAAACGGTTTCCTCGTAGCTAGAAATGCAGGAATGGAAGTGGTGGAAGAGAGTGTTTTATATTGGAGTTAACATGCGCACTTTGTTTCTTTCTAGCTTATCAGTGGGGGGAAGTGAGCACGCGGTGCATTTTAGCAAAGGGCAGAGGTATAATGGGCAACACATGCTTAACAAGCAACACTACTGCTAATGAAAGGGTTACATTAGAGGCTATAAAACCTTGAGGAGTAAAACTGTAACCATGAGGCAAAAGGTGAAGGAAAGAGAGAAAATAATGAAGAGGTGGAACAACCCAATTGGGTTATGAGTACGGTTATGGTGTCAATTGATGTGGCCAACAACATCATAACAAATTGAGGAAATGCATCCTTATCTTTTTCCATCAAATTTTTCAATCCATTTTTTTGAAACCCTCGTGAAGTTACTCCCTCTTGAGCCTTAACGTCCTTTTCAACAATGATCTTATAGCAGCAATGATCTTATTGGCCAAAAGTTGACACATTTTTCATCACTTGTTTTTTCATCACTTGTTGTAACCTTTTCCCACTTTATGCCTCATTATAATTTATATTCCTTAAGGATTCCAGGTCTCAATAATTCATTTTTATCCCTTGAGGGGTTCTCTTTGGGCCTACCCACATTCCATTTGTAGCGCTAGCAGCCATGCCTTGTGATCATGTCATGCACAGGTTTAACCGGGCAACCTCAATTTGATCCTGGTTCAAATGGGATAAGTCAAGCATGTTTGTGATTTCATTCAACAGGTTTTATTATAACATGTTTTTTCTCCTACCACCACCTTAAAATATGTACGTTTCCTTGCCCCGCACCAACTCAACATCCTTTCTGGAATCCCATTATTTGTTTTAACACTGCTTATTCAAGAGGGATTATAGCCATTGATCTTCAATCATTACATTTTTTTTTATCACGTTGTTGATATATTAGCTCATTTTTTTTGTTAAGAGGGTAGTACTCATACCAGTAACTGTAGAATTTAACGTACAACACAAAGTACAAAATGAATTGTACTTAGGGGTCTTTCTTCACCATTCTTTCCTTCTCCTACAACCTGAATCACAGATGAAAGATAATTGATGTATTTGTTCCATTAAAGCTTAAAATTACCAAATCTATTATACGAAGTAAACAACATGATGTTTCGGTTCAATATGTAGTCTTGGACATACTGTATAATTTTGTTCAATATTCGGTTTGAACCAGAAGATACATGTACAAGTTTGTGGGGAAAAAAACTATCATATGATGTTGATTTTGGTAAGGTAAAGATTCATTTTGTCGGGAGTAGTTAACACCTGGTTTCCGAGCAGTATTAAGGCACAATCACGCAACCTTGTATTTTGTTGCTTAAACATCTCACTGGACCCTTGTTTTCCTCAATTATCTATCACCATTCATGATAATGGCCCAGCATCTATCATCCCAAATTTGACTGCGAGAGACTTTTGCCGGTAATCAAATGGGTGTCTAGGTATTGCTTGAAAATCTTATCTTGGTCAAAACCCACAAACAAAATAATTATACCAGTCTATAAAATATACAAACAAAGAAAAAAAAAATCATTACCATTATTTACCGTAGCTGAATGAAAAAAAAAACAACTCTGAACAGCTGTTGTTGTTGTTGTTATTACTTTACAACAAATTTAATTTCAGTGTGATCAAAAGCTGGCTAGAGGGTTGTGGTCATTGGATAAAGTCAACTAGGTTACATGCATGAATACGCTAAGTTAGTGATAGAAATGACTGTGGTAATGATGAATGCAAAGAGACAAACAAGAACGATTTCTCCCTTGTGTTGTTTTCACCTAGAAAATTGAGTTTTGTCTACTTTTTCACTTTCCCTTTTCATTTAATTACCACGGGAAGATAATGTAGTGGCAAAATACTTTTGATAACGTTCTGAATTTGCACTAAGATTTCAAAGGCTTTTTATCTTATCTATGGTTCTCTTCCCTTTTCTTTTGCTTTTCCCTTTTTCTCTTGACATGGTTGGCAACCCAAATCATGGAAGTAGATCTTGTACTTGATCTTTTAACTAACACGTAATTTAAGGATGAGTCCTTAGCCTACAAAGTCATGAGTAGTAGTTTGATCTTCCTCGTCTCTCTCCTAGTCAATATAGATGGGCGTGAAAATGAACACCCATATGAAACTTAACCTTAAATATGATGAATCAAGTGACATTAGTGCCCACTACCTCAATGAATAATCTTTTACCAAGAAGTGAAGCAGCCAACATTTACAATAGAATATTTCATTTTAACTTTTGCTTGTTTCCTTTACAAGCATATGCTCATTGAGCTAGTCCAAGCAAAGTGACAAAATGTATAAGGAATCCAAAGACGATCATCGCCCTTAAAAATAGTATACTCATTTCTTTAAGTAACTATGTTTTTTCAAGTTGAGTGTAAAATAAGATACAAAAAGAAACTGAAATTCTTGTAGCCTTTTGATTTATTACTTGAAAAAAAAAAAAAAAAAAATATATATATATATATATATATATATATATATATATATATATATATATATATATAGTTTATGTTTGGTAGCCAATTACAAATATTTTTAAAAAAAAGAAACAATTAATTATATATGGACACGAATCCTTGAACTTAATGAATGATCACATCAATGTTTTGTAATGGAAGACAATATTTTCTCATCAATGTACAATAAAATATTTACTTTTATTTCAAAATATTCACTTTGGGAAGCATATACAAAATATTTTGACTAAGACTAAACAACTTCCTTTTTCAAATTATAAGAACTAAATAAATTCTTTTAATTTTAAAAGACAAAAAACCATAATTAACTCGTGTATAAATTAATTTTAAATTTAAATACACTTTTAATTTATATATATATATATATGCTATCATATATATATATATAAAGATATTTTTAATGTCTTCAGTCTTCTAAAATTTTAATGATATTTTCAATCTTTATATTATTGCATGGGTTTGTGTAAATTAATTTCACAAAATTAACTAATAGTAATAAGAGAAGCAGAAATACGAAGAGACCTGTAAATCAGTATAAGGAACATACTGCCCTTAATGCTAGCAGGAATATTGTCCTCGGAAAGCTTGCAACCTAGATCTTATGGAACTCCCAACACCTTGACCACCACATCCTTTCACCGGCCCAACAAAAAATTATTCTTATAACCATACTATGGGCCATATGTCAAGCTCGAGAGGTTATTCCTACACTATCTCACTTTGCTCTCTGGACCATCACATTTTTTTAAAATTCTAAAACTTTTTTATCCTTTATATTCTAAAATATCTTACATCCCCACCTCTTTTCTTCAACGGATGTCAACATCTATTGAAAAAAAATTCTTCCACGAACGTGCCACATCCGTTAACGGACGTGGCGACATCCGTTGCCTTTTTTTGTTTTTCAGTTTTTAGCTTTTTTATTTTTTTGTTTTAAATTAATATATAAATATTATTTAATTATTTTAAAATTATTATTTAATTATTTATAAATTAATTTTATTTTATTTAATAAAATAATTATTATTAATTTTAATTTATGTATTATTATTTAAATAATAATTAAAAAATTTATTATACATATACTAAAACGGATGTGCCACGGATGTGGCGACATCCGTTGCTTTTTTTGTTTTTTAGTTTAGTTTTTTTGTTTTAAATTAATATATAAATATAATTTAATTATTTTAAAATTATTACTTAATTATTTATAAATTAATTTTATTTTATTTAATAAAATAATTATTATTAATTTTAATTTATGTATTATTATTTAAATAATAATTAAATTTTTTTTATAAATATATTAAAACGGATGTTGCGACATCCGTTGCCTTTTTTTGTATTTTACTTTTTAGTTTTTTAATTTTTTATATTTTAAATTAATATATAAATATTATTTAATTTTTTAAAAATTATTATTTAATTATTTATAAATTAATTTTATTTTATTTAATAAAATAATTATTATTATTTTAATTTATATATTATTATTTAAATAATAAATAAAAAACTTTTTAAAAATCTATTAAACGGATGTGACACATCCGTTAACGGGCCACATCCGTTGAAGTTTTTTTTTTTAAATAAAAATAATAAACTAAAATATAAAATATGTAAATGGATGTTACGGATGTCAACATCCGTTGAAGGTGAAACGGATGTTGACATCCGTTTTATAGAAGGGCAAATAAGGTATGGGGAGGTGCAGGGAGCGGTTGGTGGTGGTGGAGGGAGCAACTCTCAAAAATGAATTGCACACAAGCCCAAAATTTCTGTACGGTGGGCCTCGCTTCACTAATTATTTAGGGTTTTACTCCCTACACCACCCCACTTTGCTCCCTGCACCACCACATTTTTTTAAAATTCCAAAATTATCCTTTATATTTTAAAATATCCTACACCCTCACCTCTTTTCTTCAACGGATGTCAACATCCGTTGAAGAAAAAATTCTTCCACGGACGTGTTACATCCGTTAACGGATGTGGCGACATCCGTTGCCTTCTTTTGGTTTTTTAATTTTTAGTTTTTTTATTTATTTTGTTTTAAATTAATATATAAATATTATTTAATTATTTTAAAATTATTACTTAATTATTTATAAATTAATTTCATTTTATTTAATAAAATAATTATTATTAATTTTAATTTATGTATTATTATTTAAATAATAATTAAAAAATTTATTATACATATACTAAAACGGATGTGCCACGGATGTGGCGACATCCGTTGCTTTTTTTGTTTTTTAGTTTAGTTTTTTTGTTTTAAATTAATATATAAATATAATTTAATTATTTTAAAATTATTACTTAATTATTTATAAATTAATTTTATTTTATTTAATAAAATAATTATTATTAATTTTAATTTATGTATTATTATTTAAATAATAATTAAATTTTTTTTATAAATATATTAAAACGGATGTGCCACATCCGTTAACGGATGTGCCACATCCGTTAACGGATGTGGCGGCATCCGTTGCTTTTTTTTGTATTTTAGTTTTTAGTTTTTTAATTTTTCATATTTTAAATTAATATATAAATATTATTTAATTTTTTAAAAATTATTATTTAATTATTTATAAATTAATTTTATTTTATTTAATAAAATAATTATTATTATTTTAATTTATATATTATTATTTAAATAATAAATAAAAAACTTTTTAAAAATCTATTAAACGGACGTGACACATTCGTTAACGGGCCACATCCGTTGAAGTTTTTTTTTTTAAATAAAAATAATAAACTAAAATATAAAATATGTAAATGGATGT